GCCTACGGTAATGTCTACAATTATGTAAAATAAATAAATGAATGCATCATATATAAACATACAGACCCTTACAATCATTTGCTCCTTTGTTTTTTCACACTTCACTCTCGCGTTTGTCTGTTTCTGAAAGGATCGGATGTCAGAAGCACTTATTATCGACAGCTTGAGAAGTTCGTTATCTTAAAAATAGATGCGCACGCGATAGCGAACTCCCAGGAAAAACCAAAAAAGCCCGCACTGTTAGGCGGCCTCTTAAAACAAAATCAAGAAAAGGCCGATTTTTTTCTTCTTGTCTTTGCGGCTGTTTATCAAGACAACGACAATGACCATGGCTCGTCATTATATCCAAATAGTATTACATTGTAAGGTTTTGGCTGTGTAATATGTAATGTTAAAAATGGCAGTTTCCTTGTTTTCAATCTTCTGCTCGTTGTGTGCATGAGTGACGTTTTTCTGTAAACCAATACAGCTGCATGTCTCGCTCCACCTGTTGGTACCCTTTGTCGTGCTAGGTACCCTTTGCAAAAGGTACCCAAAAAGTGGTACGGTAAGGTTTGCTTTTTGGTACATTTTGACAGTGGAAACGGCCATAAAAGTGCACCGTACCGTATGGCCGTAACAGGCCATAATTCCACATCATAACCACAGCTGTGATTTGGGTTACCAAAAAAATTAATAATTAAGTACAGTTTTTAAAAGAGAATGAAAAAGTGCATCAGTTTATACATGTACAAATGACATGAATCTATTTCTCCATCAAAATGTTCAATGAACGTCATCTAAAAAAGTAGTTATTCCCCCCAAAACCACAAGCTGAATTGCTGACTTCACTTGTGTGTTTCCTCTTTCACTCCTGTTCTACTTTTTCCTCCAAATTCCTTTCAGATATAGGCTGTGCGTTAAAAAGCGATGGAGCGCCATGTTCCAGGCAACTTTAAAGCTCAGCACCATCCAAAAAAAAAAAAAAAAAATCTTACTGACGGATTACAGGTTCTTTCAGACCTGAGCAAAAAAACTCAAGATGAGTGGACACTCTAGCCTTTTCACTGCTATCCAAGATAGACCACAGATGCGGCATTTAGCATGTCTATCTGTGGATTCCAGACATCTGAAGGACAAGAATTATTTGAAAGAGCTGTAAAGTCAGTCCACAGCTTCTCCAACTGTATCCGTCACACAGGGAAAGACAGAAAATCTGACTCAGCAATCTTTGGAAAGATACACACCTTTTTGGCTCCAGGTAAAGTTACAAGAGGGGAATCCTGTAGCGTGGAAGCTTTATTAGTGTATTTACAGCCCAGAACAATGGCAAGACTCTGTCGGACAGCGGGCACAACATATCATGTGTGAAGGCTGAAATATAGATCTAGACGGGAGGAGGCTGTCAGGTTCATCCGATGATTCATTGCTTGTGGCGATGCTGTCTACAGTGAGTGGATCATGCTGCACATGCTGGGACAGAGATAATGGCACACAGATGTCTGAGCACATCAGGCCACACAATCCAACGACCGCAACTTTACTACAACCCAGCAGAGTTCAGAAAGCGTGTACTGCGATCAGACATTGCTGCAGAAAATCAAACGCTACCGACTCACAGGTTACAGCCGCGCTTCTGTGACACTTCAAGGAGAATGATGGTTCGTTACGCTTGCTTTTGCCAGGCATAAACATTCGGAAATGCTTATCTGGAAAACTAGACGCTCAAAATGCTGTGTCCTAGGACGAAGAGATAAATGTTGAATAAAAACGGTATTTGAACGGTACTTCACTGACATTGCATTTACAAGACCAGGCAGAGGTCGGCCTTTTTGTGGGAGATGAAAGCTTTCGAATAAATTCCGCATGGACACAGAGCACTGTCTGACAAATACTGTTGTGCATGTGTGAATGAACAAAAAAAAAGAAGATGCTCTGACCTTGAGTATTCCTTGGAGCGAGTGAAAGCAAGAAAACATTGTTACCATCATCATGAATTCTTAATATAATTACCCTCTTTTGCATAAGTGAAGTGAAACGCTCTAAATCAAGATCTTTGTTCTGTTCCCAAAATTACAACTGCCCATCATGAACCAGAAATGAACACCAAACAATAAAAATAAACTTTTCTGATTTATTCACGACCCCCCACCTCTTCAAAGGGTCCAAGACTAAAACCCATCTCTTTCAGTTCTGCCCAGTGCTTGGAGATTTTTAAAGTTTAATAAGGCTGCGGTTCATGTGAGTGCTTCCCAAGACGGCATACACACACACACACACTAACCACAGAAGGGCACATGGAGGGGGTTACATCAAGCTAACACTGCACTTTTCTTCATTATTTACCTGTTCTGAGGCCTGGGCCAGCCTGAGACACAAGCAGTTTTCCATTCCTCTTACATCACGAACACTCCAGCTCTGGGTACAGTACACGGCGCTCTGTGTTGTTCTTCTCATAATAGAGAAAGCCATTTGCCCTGACTTTAGGGCATTTTGGCTGTGCTTCATCCATCATATTGTAAGACTCGTTAAAAATCATGTGTGATGTAGGGATTGAAATGAAGGAATGGCAGTTTAGAAGGACTTTGGTGCACTTGTAGCAATAAAGCAAACGATGCAAGAGCATGAAAATACAACTGGCAAAAAAAGAGTGGTTGAGCCACAAATAATTATTATCTGTTGATCTGACTTAAGTGCTTTTTGTCATTTTCATTGTATTCCACGCTCTTGCAATGTGAAATGTGAAAAATGCAATGGTCACTGAATTATATGTCCAGTGAAATATTATATTGAATTACAAATAGGATCAGCCATTTTCCACAAAAATCATCACTTTATTCCTAGCCTGACATGCCTTTTATTCTTTTAGTTTTAATCCATATTCACATCAAAATCTGTTTCTAAATCATGAAAAACAAAATTTGGAATTTTTCGCTAAAGTCAAAAACCTGGATGCATCTTCAAGAGCAAAAAAAGATTTATATATATTTTTTGTAATCGATTTCAACTGTTTTAAACTAATATTTGCAGTGCAATTAAGAACAATGTGTGAGGATAATATGCTGAAAATGCAAACAGACAAAATGTTTTTAGTCACATTACATTCGCAGGGGTGAATTTAACCAAAATTCATGGTAATCAGCTGCTTAGGACCCCAGGAAATCTGAGGGCCCTCAAATAAATACCTAGAAGTATAAATTATACCAAAAATTATATATACTGTAACATCATTTTCTCTTGCATCTGCTATGCAAAACATGTGCTGGAAAAGTTGGTGATTCATTCTGCTGTGGCGACCCCTGATGAATAAAGGGACTAAGAAAAATTAATAAATCAATCATATTTTGTATGACGAGGGTCTAAATAAGTAAAAGTTTACTTGAATTACTTACAAATGTGTCCCCACCCTCAATCAAGGAGCAGTCCAGCAGTCAAACTAGGTAAAGATTTAGCTTTTAACACATTTTTAAAAGTTTTACTAAAAAGTTATCATTACTTTGCATTAGGGCAAAATATAGAAAATGAGATTGAGTATTAGAAGAAAAAACAGCTAAATGAATTTGCACCATTGCATACGGCCCTCAAACCACTAAATCGGGCCTTGCACATTTGTTTATGAATGACATGCATCGCATTAATTCAGTACTTTTACCTCAAAATGGCAAGTTCCTTTTATTACAGGATATTACAGTTGGTTATTTAACATTGTTATCCTACAACAGTTTAATATTTGAGAATATGTCTTAACTCCAATTTTATTATTGTCTTAATTCTTTGACCATCTAAAAAGTCAATTCATTTTTGCTTTCTGAAGTTGATTGGCCTTTTTTAGTCAATTTCCCAATAATGAGCACTAGACCAACCTCAACATTTGAACTTCTAAAATTTTGTGTCCTCCTAGAACCAAACACGATTGTAGCCGTTATTTCCATTTCCAATTCAGTGTCCATAGCAGGTGCATCAATTGCTTGGCACAACTCCACAGATTTTTGTCCTCTTTTGAGTGGGTTACCAACCAGATAGTTCTCTTTTTATCCATGTAAGACAGTATGATGGATGTGCACAGCAGCACACATGAAGGCTCAAGGCCGAACGCTTTGCACAGACACATGCTCTCAAATCAACTACTAGTTTTTCATCAATCCACGTGAGGGACTGCAGCAGAACTACAGCGAAGAGCGGAAAGCTTCGAGTAACATGAGGAACTCACCTTTGCTACATCATACAAGGACAGCAGACAGATTTAGAAGCACTAAACCCTCTACATCAGGTCCTATCAGACATTAGAGCGATGCAGCAGCACTTGGGGCTGAGGAACGGCCATATCCTCAGCCTTCAGGAGAACAGAGGACTCCTTGTCTGTGCTGAATTCTGCCATTGACAGAGCGCTGCCCAACCACCACAGCATATAAATGTGCCCCTCTGTAGGAGCCATGGCTTCCCATACACCTCCATACCTATTTGTGCATGGGCGTCGTGGGTGTGCAGTTGGGTTAGGTGGGTTGCCTTCGCTCCTTCCTATCTCACACTTACGTAAATGCCATTAAACATTTAACAGGCAATGGGAAGTCTGTGGGTTGCGGATGTTTGCCATCATTCAGAGCGCATTACCATTATCTATCAAGTGCAAAAATAAATCAATCCCCACGTTGCCAGAGGGACGAGCGATGGATGCAATTAGAGGCGCAAATGGCCGGTAAAGGCCACGCGACAGCGACGCGTCGAGATCATTTGATCTAGATCTGATGAACGCGTCGTTTTTCTTTGAAGCAGACGAGACATGTCAGAATAAAAGAGTAGGATATGCGGATACTGGCCAAGTGTGCCAGTCATACGTCTATTTCTTATCAACAGGCCATGGCAGTCGGTATTGGCTGACTAAAGCGCACCTTTATTGAACACTTCTAATTAGACATATCATGCGCGAGCGTTGCGTCAAACCGACAGAGACGCGCTGCTCGCCGATGTCGTGCAAACACACATACGTGCATTATAACATCAGACAACAGAAACCCGCTTACCGCGATGAAAGGGTTGTAGTCGACGGGTTCTTTCCCGGCGAATAGTCGTACTACAGTGGTGAAGCCGGTGTTTATGCCATCGGTATTTTTTCTGAGGTAATTCGTCATGAATGTGTCGCAGGCTCTCGCACATCAATTTACCTTCTTCACGTCAGTCCGTGTCCCCAAAACAATAAAAGAAATCCGGAAAGAAAGGAAAGGAGCATACAAAGATGAAAATAAGAGCAAATTAAGAAATGGGGGGAAAAGAAAGGGGAATGAACACCACTTAACACCTCCTCCTCCTTTTTCTTTCTTTTTATCTGACAACACCCGCGTCTTCTGGTGGCGAGGTTACCACATATTTGATCACTATAAAGGAGGTAGGGAAATGATAAAATAAAACAATAACAGAAACAAATGCGTATAACGCATTAGCGGCTAACTCAGCGCTCTGTCGTCATGGCGACCCATTTCAGAGTCCGTTCCTGCATCAAAAAACAGCAAATAATAAAAACCATCCGGTGGCACGACTTCTCATCTGCTCTCAGTCTGTCTCACTCGCAAAACGAGTCCTTTTCTTGCGTGTGCAAGTGAGCAAACAATTGTGACTCTTTTTTTTCCTTTCTCTCAGTGGTATCTAAAAATGGTGGTAATCAGAATTATTATTATTCCCACTCGTAAGCAATGACGATGTATCTGCCTCTCAGAAATCCATTCGGCACTTCACGCACAGCTGTCAAGATTCAGGAGTTCTGAATCCCGATGTCCGCCTCTCTCTCTCTCTCTCTCTCTCGTACACACGCACGCTCTATGGCAAGCTGTTCTACCATTCATCTAACTGGTCTCCAATAAAGTTTCTTCGATGTCTAAATATGACTATGCAAATATATATATTAGTAAGTAACTGTCGAACAGTACTTCATATATACTTACTTAATACAGCTGGGTTAATAATAACCCAAGTAACTCGATGATGGGTCGTATAGGCACCAACCTGCTGTTGGGTTATTTTTAACCCAATCCATTGGGATGTTAAGGTTAACCCAAGAATATGGATTACAAAAATAAATTATTTGTTGGGTTATTTTGCCAAAAAGTGGCAATTATTGTGTGTACAAAATTATTGTGTTGATATCTCCACTGGGTTCTAAAGGTGAGAATGATGACCAAATATCATGTGTATCATATTATATATATTATGATACACGTTTTATATGCGTTATAGCTTAAATAAAGTTTAAAACGAAAAAACAACATTACTTTGGCATATTATTACAGCTGTTATGTGACAGTTAAATCAGATGACTATTGAAGGTCAAAATTTTAACCCAACTGGTTGAGTTATTAAATAAATCACCCAATAAAGGTTAAAAAAAAACTAATCAAAGCACCAGATATTTAACCCAGCTGGTTGAGTTATTATTAAATAACCCAATAAAGGTTTAAAAACTACCCAACAAAGCACCAAATATTTAAAATCAACCACTGGGTTAAATAACTAACCCAACGTTTGTTTGAGTGTAGTCTATACTTTTTACTGCATTGTAGCCAATTATAGCCTCCAGATACTTCCTTCTTTATCAGGGAACACAACGTTGGAAGGATCTATCAACTACCTTTTACTGGTATTTGCCCATCTTGCCACAATGCAGCCCTAATAGTGCAACACTCTCATTCACACACTCACTAGAGTCAAATTACTGTTCAGTTCAGCTTTATACAGCATGTCTTTAGATTGTGCGGGAAACTGAAGCACCAGGAGGAAACCCATGCAGACAGGGAGAACATTCACAGAGAAAGGCATCTTGGCTCAGCCAGGACTTGAACCAGGTACCTTCACTGTTAGATACTAGTGATGCTCCGATCAGGATTTTTACAGCCTTGTCATGGTGATCAGCCAATACAGAGTATCGATTCTGATGCTTCAAGCTTTATGTAACTTTGCCATTGCATAAAGCATATTTAGCCCCCTCTAAGTATAATAGGCCTTTTAAGCGAAGTTTACTCCTTAACTAAGAGAATAAATGAGGGATGTTGCATATGGTCATTTCTTATGACCATTTATTTTGGACATGTCATGGTCAGATGCAGGAAATAGGTCTATAAAATGTTTACTGCAATAAGAACAGTATTTTTTTTTTCTTTTTTAAAGGGCACATAGTTTACCCCTTTTTTAATGATTTAATATTAATATTATGGTTCTTCTGAGTGTGCCAGTTTAGGTTCAGTTCAACACACAGTTCAGATGTTTTTATTATAATGTGTTCAAAAGTGTTATGTTGTGAACTGAATTACTGAATTAACTTTGACTGAGGCAGCGGATGTGCAGCTCAAAGCCGTGACACGGCACACCAGACACTCTCAGTGGAGCGGCCGAAACATGAAGTGTCCCAAATTGTCACGCTACGCACCGCCATGCATTCCAGAACTCCAAACACAGGCCTCCACCAGGGCAAACACAAAGGCACCCGCTGACCCGAAGCACCGCGCGTGCACCCCGACAGAAACCCACGCCCAGAACTCCGAAATGCACGGCGCCGCGCCACGCAGTGATGCGTGTGTGACCTGCCGGCAAGTTTGTAATTTTATTTCCAATGGAGTGACGCGCACATGAAGCAACGCGCTTGCACTTTTCCAGCTGCACCTAAGATTACAGGGAGCTTCTGTGTTTGCGAGAAATGTAAACAATTGAACTTTAAAGTAGACACAATGAAAAGTACACATGTTTGCAAACCTACCAAAAGGTACAAACAATAATTCCGTTTAGAGCAATAATGTGGAGAATATTGATCTTGTGTTGAGCCCAGTGAGCCTTACATCTAAAAATAGAGCAGGGGTGTTCCTTTAGTGATATCGCTTTGACTCACACGCTGAAAATGGTGGACGTGAAACAAGAACATGAGGATATGGTGACGCGCCTATCAATCAATATTGGTGGGTGGGGGGACAGCACTCCTACATCAAGTTGCGGTCGGTCTGAAAACCGCTCCAATTGGTCCACTGTTTTTATGTTGTTAAATTGAAAAAAAAAGAACTGTGTGGGTTTATATCACCCCAATATGACGGTCTATACACTATACACACATGTCTGTCCAAACAGCTTGAAAAGTAGATTTTTCACCAAAGATGCCCTTTAAATATTTCCCAAATGATGTTTAACAGAGCAAGGAAATTTTCACAGTATGTCTGATAATATTTTTTTCTTCTGGAGAAAGTCTTATTTGCTTTATTTTGGCTAGAATAAAAGCAGTTTTAAATTTTAAAAACATTTTAAGGACAAAATTATTAGCCCCTTTAAGATAATAAGCTTCGTTATACAATAACTTGACTAATTACTCTAACCTGCCTACCTAATTAACCCAGTTAAGCCTTTAAATGTCACTTTAAGCTGTATAGAAGTGTCTTGAAAAATATCTAGTCAAACATTATTTACTGTCATCATGGCAAAGATCAAATAAATCAGTTATTAGAAATGAGTTATTAAAACTATTATGTTCAGAAATGTGTTGAAAAAAAATCTTTACTCCATCAAACAGAAATTGGGGAAAAAATAAACAGGGAACTAATTCAGGGGGGCTAATAATTCTGACTTCAACTGTATATAAATATACCTCTACAAAATAAACTCACAAGCATAAATAAGCAGAAAACCTAGGATTAAAAGATACAAGCAACTGTTAATTGACAATTATTTTTTCAGTGTAATGGCTTTGTAAATAATTTTGTACAGCAAAATTAGTTGAACAGTCCATGTGCCAAGTCTTATGGCTGTTTCACACACACTCAGTCTACAATGCATTTGCAGTCTATATGGTGTGACAGTGTGAAAGGTGCAACCTATTAACACGGGCACATACTGTAAACACGTTAACAGGTTGCATCTTTCACACTGCACATTGTTGCAGTTCAGCAGTCCTTTCCAGGCGCGATGCATCTGCAGCAATCCAATGATTGTTTGCACACAGAGTTTATTTCTGCTGTGCTGCATAAAATTGGGTACAATTATGTAACCCAAAGCATTGGGTTAATTAATCCATAGTTGGGTATTTATTAATCCAGCAATTTTAACTGAGAGTAGTCCTACAAAATTGCAAAATGCATACAGACATACATTCCCTCATTATAAACAAATTTGTTATATTTGTATAGAGAGGAGGGACACACTTGCATCTCAGTGGGCAATCACATCATGCACGACATGGCAGGGGGGTTCATTTGAGAGAGAATTAACTTGCTCAAATTAAGATGATCTGAACAACATTTGCCTCATAGTCAAGGTGGCAGAATACTTTATGTCCAGCAGAATGTTTGGTACAAAGATATTGAATGCCAAAGAAAAGGCACGGAAAGGACTTTCCTCCGCTGTTGGTGTCGGTGGCAAGTTTTAAAACGTTTGGATTTGATGTGCAGTATTTATATGTATTTAGATTTAAATTAGGGTCTTAATTATATAAATTATTTTACCTAAAAGCTGCAGATCAAACAGTGTCAGTAAATGCACCGCAAATGTGTCCTCTGTGAAAGCATAATGGCCAGGTCCTGCCTCAACACACCACAGATGGAGAATGTGTGAAACAGGCATTACTGCTATATAGCCTAAAGATGCTGTGACTGAGGGTGATTTAAGAGCAAGGTGAGACCCGATAAAAGGCAAAACAGTGTTTAGGCTATTTGTCACATATCGGGTAATGGCTACTAAAAATGATATACTAAAATAATATACTTGTGAAGCTGATAAATATACTAGTTTCTCTGATTTAATTATTAATAATTGATTTTCACTTGCCACATCATAAGAATTAATGTTTTGTTTTAGAAAATCAATGTTAAACCAGCTTGCCATACTCACACATTTAACAGCTACCGCAGATTGATTGCAATTCTTAGCACTACCTCCGGTGGCTGTAGCGTCCCTTATGTTCACGTTTTCACATACTGACGCTTTGTGTGTACTGAATTTACATTCCGTGCTGCTGCTTTGAGTACTCTCATCGAGCTCTAATTAATTAATCAATGTGATTAGGACATGGACCCTCCGAAATGCGCCTCTATCCAGCCCCGAGGACCTGCATCGGCATGACGTCAGAAAAAGCGTCAAAGTGATAGTCCTCTTTTCATCTTGCATCATGAGGTCAGTGTGACGTGACAGATGCACTGTTGCTAACATCTGATCCAACACTTGAGTCGAAGAGATGAATGTATTGTAGTTTACTAAGATATTCTAAATCTAGATCATGGAAATAAATGATAACACATTACATATAGTATCAACTTTGTCCTTCAAAACATCTTAACTATAATAGAAACATGTCAGTATCATATGGTGCATCAAGGTCATATTCATACCACCATCTTTTCCTTTTTCCTGTCAGAATACATTACAGAACAACTTAGGGGTTAAAAAATAATGTGCCATAGGCCCTAGAGTAGAAATATGATTCATTCATTGAACTGAGGTTGAACTGATGTGCTTGTGTTCGGCATTAACTTCTTTACTTGGATTAGAAACTAAACCAGACTAGAGGTGATCTTAGACCTGCTTGGACCATATAACTAAACTTAAATGGTCAAACATCGCCCTCTAGCGAATTTGATAGGCTCTGATGTGATATTGGATTTTGCATTAAACACCCACGAGAAGTCAAAGAGCAGAATTACAAAGAAATAGAAACTTTTAAAAGAAATTATTATTATTATTATTATTATTATTATTATTATTATTATTGTATTATCATTATTGTTATTATTATTATTATCATTATTGTTATTATTGTAAC